AATACTTGCCTTTGTATCCCTAGAATACCTTGATATAAAATGCAATACTACAAAGTACTTTATACATGGAAGTAGGGTTAGTTATTATATAGAGAACGATTATATATGACCCTATGTGTAAGATTTAGCACCATCTAGTGGTACGATTGTACCAAACGGTGGAACAGTGGTTTGTGCTCTTGCCTTACAACAAACTGATCATCTGTTTGATCCCTGTGGTACAGGACGGTCTTCATTTATGGAGTTTTCTACATGTTGTAGAGTGGGAGTCTGAGGTCGTTTGCCTCACCCCATGATGCTGGGGTAACTCCCCCAGCCCCTCCCCCCAAGACTGTGAACAGGAGGCAGATGAAGATGAATGAATGTTAACAGAAGCTGTGAAAATATTGACGATCCAACAGACTGGCCTCTGGATTGATGATTTGGATTTTAACAATTGCTTATTTTAGGGTGGGGCAACAAAAACAACGATTCAGATTTTCACAACGGCGTCTTGAAGTAGTTTGTATTCCGCTTTTACACACTGGATCTTTGACCCCCCCCCCCCTCCCCCCCAAACCTAGCCCCAACGCCCACTTTCAGGTCATGACCCAGTGTATGAGAACCACACACAACCTTTGAAGAGCCCAGAAGCATAAATCAAAGGCAGTCATGTCAGGTCAATAACTGTGATGAGCAGAGCGTTAACTGCGCCAATAAATAAAGTTGTTATTTAAAAAAATCCCATTTGCCGACGTCGTTCAATGAACATCAGGCTGGCAAATTTGGAGCTTGTTACATTTTAATCCAATTAAAATCCTATTTAAAACAAAGTTAACATCCAATCCCAACACCTCCACAAAGACCGGGCTGCACACAGAGCACCTTATCACCGGGCTGCAGCTCGTCCTTCTCTCCACGGCCCGTCTGTGGGCCATCCAGCCAACATCTGTCAGCAGCAGCAGCAGCCACAGACACAGACACAGACACAGACACAGACACCGTACGCTACTGATCCAGTGACCCCACAGTGCAGGCATCCACGCACGCCTGGCTGCACCTGTGCCCACCCCGCCGGCCTCATGTTTAGGCCAATTTTCACAATTTGTGCCTCTTAATCGTCTATGAATCATTTATCACAGCGTCAGGCGCCTATAGCTGTCGGGTGATGCCTGATCCCACTGGGTTCCTGGAGCCCATTCATGAATCATGCATCGGTTCTGGCTGTGGATATTTGCCCCCCACCCCCCAACTCCCCCCCTTTTATTCGTTCCTTGTTCATTTTGGAGGCGGCAGTGCTCGGGATGCACAACGTTGATTCAAAATGACGTCCACAGGCCACGGTGTCTTCAAAACACACCGACAGCTCAGGGACACCGCTCTCTCTCTCTACCGCAACAATCACACGTGGTACCGTGGACCGGTGCCGGGCTTCCGAGCCTCGACTGAGCGCTGGGTGTTTATTAAGTGCGGGTATTTTTTTTTTCTCTCGCCAGGAACCCACGATCGATGGAGCGGAGATGGATGAATGTGGGCTACGACAGCTGTCCCGAGGAGACGGGGAAGAAGACAGTACGCGCCGCATGCATGCTGCGATTGCGGGTCACACACACACACAGACTGTACACAACAGAGCTCCCTGCTCAGCAGCGTAATAACGTTTGCTCAGCCTACCTCCACAGCGTCTGCGCCCAAGCTGCGTTTTTCTCCCCGCGTCGCGACGGGATCCTCCTCAGCTGCTCTGGACAGGCTCACGGATGCGTCTTTGCCCCGAAATAAGAGCCCGCATGT